ACTAGACCGGTATAAACTTGCTAAAACAGCACCAGATCAGCGCTAGACCTCTAGAAACCAGCATAAACCAATTTAGACCAGCTGCTCTATGCTGTTTTTTCAGCGGGGCAGCTAGCTGAGCAAGTTCTCTCCCTGATAGGTGGGGATGGTGGGACATGATATTATTGGTTAATGTCATCCTTCCCTACCTGCTGGTGCACGGTGACATTTTAGAGTCAACGCATTTTAATGAAAGAGTTCAGGAAAACAGGGGTTTTGTCTTTTACATCAAATGGTATGACAAATCCTGCTATGACCAAAGACTGAACTAACAAGATTAAAGGCCAGATTTCAGACTGACATTAAAGATGAACTGCAGTGTCAAATTTCATCTATTAGGGGTGTAATGACATTCTGTTCAATACAGTATTGATTAAAAAACTGCTTAAAGTTCATGCCGTTTCTATGCTGTCTGCTGCAATGCATCACTTTTCTGAGCCTTATATCTTTTTGCCTTTTTGTGAGTTCAGATCATGGCTTCAACATGGTGGTAGTATGAGGGCTGACTGATTGAGGGAGGGGGGAGAACTCTGAGAACTTGGGCTGGAGTTCTAGGCAGCTTCTGCCTGTAGCTACAAGGCCAGACCTCCTCATAGCTGTAGCGGGACTGATGTAAGACTGAGGAACAGGAAGGAGATGAGGTGGCAGTGGGGATTGCAAACACTTCGTCACAGGAACAGAAGGTGAGGATGTGAATTTATAGGGTGTTAGATTGGAAGAAGGAGGGGTTTCAGGCATGTTCAGGTATAACATAACTACAATTTGTTCCGCTCAGAGTTTAATGGATGCTGCCCAAAATATTCCTTCAGTGCGGCACTAATTCCCCACATGTAAAAGGCTGTTATAGCTCAAATTCATGTCTATACAATGCAACCAAGTGAAGAGCTGCCATTTGAGAGTCATTGGTTGCTGTTTAAGGCTGTATTTAACTGGTTTATATTCACCATAACTGGACTACATTCTGCCCCACTAGATAAGGCCAGCAGGTTGCTAACAGGCTAAAAGGCTGCTTCAACAACATTGAGAAACAGGCTAAAAGTCCAGCTCTGTCCAGAAGAGTTACTGTAAAACTGCATATAGAATGAAGCATACACTACCCGTATGCCTGTTACGAAGTTCACATGCCTGTGTTTAAGCTAAAATTGGCATAAAGTCCTCAAATAGGGATGCTAGCTGGAATTAGCATTATGCTAGCGCTAACTGGACAACAGAAGGCTGCTTATAAAATGAATTACAAGGTTTCTGCATTAACGATTGCTGTGTGACACAGCTGGCAGATCTTCCTGATTGTGCAACTGTACCTGGTTCACAGCATGAACAAAACTATGTTCATTCACCAGTGTGTAGGCCAGTTTTGATCTCAGATTGACATTAAAGATGAACCGCAGCATCAAATTTCAATATCATCAAGGTGTAATGACGATGTTCGATGAAGTATTGATTTAAAAAAACTGCCTTACATCTTTTTGCCTTTTTGTCCTGCCTAGAGTTTAGTGGACGCTGCCCAAAAGTCAGTGCCGCACTAAAGCACTGCATGAAAAAGGCTGTTATAGCTCATATTCATGTCTGAATAACTGCCATTTGAGTATCATCGGTTGCAGACTGTATTTAACTGGTCTACATTCTGCCCCACTAGATAAGGCCAGCAGGTTGCTAACAGGCTAAAAGCCTGCTTCAACAATATTGAGAAACAGGCTTAAAGTCCTGACCTGTCCAGATCAGTTATTGTAAAACTGCATATAGAATAAAGAACACTTTACTTGTATGCCTGTTACAAAGTTCACATGCCTGTGTTTAAGCTAGAACTGGCATAAAATCCTCAAACATGGATGCTAACTGAAAATAGCATTATGCTAGCAGCTAATTGTACATCGGAGGGCTGCTTATAAAATTAATTACAAGGTTTCTGCATTAAACATTGCTGTGTAAATGACACAACTCTTTTAGAACTGTACCTGGTTCACAACATAAACAAAACTGTGTTCATTCACTAGTAGGTGGTGTTCTCAATATGAAAGAAACAACAAAGTCTGTTTTTTTAACAGTATTTTTATTTTTACAGTATTTTATTAGGTTTATGTATCAAAAGCAGTCATAATTCATTTTTTACATGACATTTTCCAACTTATATTCATCCCTTAAAATGTAAACAGGTTGTTTTTGTTACTGAGCCTTTAAGACTGAATATGTAAATGACCTTTGTACTAAACTGTATTGTGCCTAATGAGTGGATGGCGCCAAACTGCCATGGGCTGAAAAGGTGAATATGTGTAAATGTGTTTGTTTTTGTGATAGCGCATTTCAAACCAGGCTGGTTTTGCAGCTTACTTTGCAAACACAAACTGTACAGACCAGGGAATGAACAATACCCTTTACAAAAAATTTAAATATTCTACATCAAAATATTCTATAAAAAAATCCCTTAATATGGGCCCTTTCATTTTTGTGCGCATGTGCATCACTCTTTCAGAATGGCAGATACAAGGCTGGTGTGTGTGTACAGTTGTGTGCAAAAGTTTGCACAACCCTCTTCAAATTACATGTTTTGCTGTGGTAAAAATAAGTTACATTTAAAAAAAAAAATGAAAGTAGCATTACTGAGTGAGGAGAATAAAAACAGGCTAAAATATGGTGAGTGTGCGCTGCTGTGAGTCACCCTGTAAAGCCTGAAATAATCATTTAAAATACAAAGGTGTTCTTCAGACAATGTTGTACATCTTTACATGCCTAAATATCAAGCCAGACCTTCTTTTTGAGTCGTGTGATGTGTTGAGTCGTGTGATGTGATTTTTTGTGCGTGTGATGTATTAACAGGTCCGGCTTGATGTTTAGGTCTCAAATGATCTCAAAATCAATGTTATGCTGATGAGGATATGATGATAATAGTAGATGATTCACTCACATCCTCAGTATATGTATACTTCACCACGTTTTGGCTTAAACGAGTTCTCCTTAAATTCTCAAATCACAACCCAAGATACAAAATCTTCTTCTGCACATTGCATGTAATTAATGATGCATCGATACCGTCTTTTTCAGATTGAGTGTGAGTACATATATTTTTGAAGTACTCACTGATACTATGAGTAATTACTTACAATTAAGCAGATGTTTGTATAAATGACTGCAATGTTCCTTAACAGTTAAATCGTTAAATTACCGCATTTTAAATGAAGTGCATTAGCTAGCTGTGCTACATTAATTATGGTGGATTGTGTAGCACTGCAGTGGAGAGCAGGTTTTATCAGAAAAGTGCATCTGTACAGCTGTAAGTAAAGTATGTTTCATAGTTTTGATCCTCATCTGTCTCTATCAACATTTGTCTCCGTAGCACAGCGACAGCAGGAATCACATCCGAAAAGCTCACTTAAGGAGTTTTACGTCATGTCAGAGTCTTTTGTTTGGCTGGCTGAGCTGTAGTTGTATGTCCACTAAAGCCAGACATACTGTATGATTTTACATGTCTTGTTCTTTGGTGCCTAACGCTGTATTTGAAGAGTACATTGTGTGCAGACAAAGCCTACAGTTACATACGCTGCACAAAAATGCTCAGACTGACCTGCTACATGAGACATAACCTCTGCAGACAGCTCTGTTTAGGGAAAATGATCAATAAAGTTCTTTCATTCAAAATAACATGCTTTGCATCCGAGTACTGAGCAGAAATGCTGAGAAACTGTGCAGCGCTGCTAACACTGTGCACTGAAAAAGCAGGCAGTGGTGTAGACAGTAGGATAATACAGTCTCTCTACAGCCTATTTTACAAAGACAGTTAAAAAATCACCATATTAATGTTTATACCTCATAATTCTATTCAATAAAACGTTGCAAATACTGACTTTGGTAGTAAATTCCAACTTTTTTGCCTCTCTTTTGTTAGCCTACAAGTCTCCACCCATATTAAGGAAGCGGGTGTGTTTGTAATTGTGTGTGTTTAACAATGGGCTGAAATTGCACAGTGAGCTCTTGGCAGGAATATACCAGGTGGAATGTTTAAAGTGACTGGTAGCTTTGTGACCACTAGCAGCACTTCTCTGTGTGAGCGGACCCTCGTTCAGCTAATGTTACATCAGGTATCAGGTGGTATCAGATATTAGTATCGTTCATTTTTATGAGGATGAGTATTGGGCTAATCCCCGATACCAGTATCAGTATCGATCCAAGTGTAATTACAGATTTCCACCAGAGATGTCTCCAAATCCCAAAGACTTCTAGGTGTAACTTTTTATATGTTTTATTTCTTTAAATGTTAAATTCAGCAAATAAACATTAATTGTGCATTTAAATGTGGAGACGTGTGTCTCTGTATAGGATGTGTTCACTTATTTTCACTTACAAAAGCAACAACACATGTAGTTTGACCATAAGACTGCATGTGTTTGATATGGCGAGGCATACAGTGATGGTCATGTCCAACCTTTAGCCACTGCGTAGATAAACGCAGTGAGCAGTTCATTTCGGAGAGGCTAACCACACAGTGGCAGATTCACAGACAGGAAATGATGCATGTGGAAATAGAAACAGGAAGTTGCTGGACTGTGAAGATGCTTTCCACTCTTATGTTCACGGTGTCACTGTCTCATTTAAATAGAATCACTGATAAATAAACCATATCCTGTGTTGTGTCCTTCTCTTAGTCCATTAAAGGCTTGTAGAGGGGAATTTTATGCACTTAAGTGAGAGACTGATGCTTCACATTAAAACAGCAATGCAGCTGTGTGCAAAAGTTTGAGCACCCCGGGCAAATGATATGTTTTGTTGATTTTCTAAGTGAAAATAAGTGAACTCATCCTCTCAGAGAACACATTCCTGCACATTTGAATGCAAATCACTGTTTATTTGATGATTTTGACATATTTGGAAAGAAATAAAACATAAATTGTGGCTTGTGCAAAAGTTATGGCACATTATATGTTTTATGTTTTATTTTTTATTAGAAATAAATAGAAATTTTGGCCTAATATTTGCAGAAAAATGCTATATTTAAGTTCCTTGTGGAGGATGGGATAACTTTTTTTCACTTAAATTATCAACAAAACATTATTTGACCAGGGATGTTTGCATATGGCTGTATATGACAGAGTTATACAGTGTTGTTCGGTCAATTTGTATCAACATTTTTCCTGCAAGTTTGAAAGGAATGACAGAATTCTTTGAAATAATGTAGATTTTCATTGTCAGGGTTGCTCTTGAGTCTTTTGCAGTTATTTTCCAGACTTAGCCACCGCTTGAACGGCTTTGATCCACTCGTTGCGCTCTTCGGAAGTCGCTGCCTGCAGGTAGTAGTGTACCTCCTCTGAAGTGATGATCTCAAACAGATTTCCCTCCACTTCATGCCTTTTAGCTGCAGCAGAGGTAGCATAGTGTTAAAAGGAATGTTCTGAAATTCTTGGAAACATCTAGATTTGCAGAGAGGCTTCGGTAAATCAGTGAGAGGTTTGTTAGCATTACACAGTGTCATATTTAAAGCATCAAATTAATTACTCTGGAGTTGTTCAGTCTAATCTCTGTCTGCCTAAACATTAGCATACAGTTGATTACAGACATGGTGTGAGACTACTTATTCTTTTCAGATACTGATACTGAAACCTTGATTGTCAGTTGATATTAATACCACCCTGCTAGAAAGAAAATAGCATAGTCCAGCATTGCTGGTCACCAGCAAAACCAGCACATCATCACTGTCAGAACAAAACCTCGTATCTCCAAAATGTTTACTTTACAAGAGAAGGCAAAAACATGCTTTACTTTTAATGTATGTCAATGTAACCAGAATTTTTTTCCCAGTAATCTTGGGCCGTTTCTATTTTTCCATTTATTATGAAATTAACACAGCATAAAGGGCAACTGGCATGTTTACATTACGTTATTATCATTCTGATCACCAGCAAAACCAGCACATCACTGTTGTGGGAACAAAACCTTGTATCTCCAAAATGATAACTTTACAGGAGAAGGAAAAAACCTACTTTGCTTTTAATGTAAGTCAATGGAACCAGATGTTATTCCAAGTAATTTTGAGCCATTTCTGTTGATCCATTCATCATGAAATTAACACACAGTGTAAATAGAAACAAGCATTTTCAATTTATGTCAAAAAGTTAAAAAATGACAAAAATGGAGATACGAGGTTTTGTTCCGACAACAGTGACATGTTGTGTTTTGGAAGCTGGTAAACCAGCACCAGACCAACACTATGGAATGCATGCTGGTCTGTGCTGTTTTTTTCAGTAGGGCAGTCAAATATTTGGAAAAAAAACTAATTAGATTTAAAATTAACCATTTTAAACTGAAGCACTGCACTAAAATACACCTGTGCCAGTGACAGAACCCTCTAATGCATGCGGAAAATAACCATAAATACTTAAACCAAAGAACTTCTACTGAGGAAAACTACCACTCAGTAATGTTTTCCAGGTTTATCAGGTCCTAGAGGGCAAGACCAAAATGAACGTGTTTCTATGGAGTTTTTGTGCACAACTGTAGTTGGTAAACAATGTCTGATCGAGCAGCAACAATACTGATAGCCATCAATATTGATAGGCCTTCTATAGCTGATTACCACAGACAATAATTTTGTACTTATTAAAAGAATGCATCTACCTCTCAGCTTCTACTGTAAGTGTCTTTTAAGACAATGAGTCTTTATGTTCTTTTCTAAGTGCAGGAAACTGACCGTCCACTACAGATGCAGCAGATTAAGCTGAGGTTAGGCTGAAAACCGCTGGAGTGTTCCCTTAAGTATGACATGCTTCAGTGTATTTAGACCATGTCTTTGAGTCTTATTGTGCTGAGCGATGAATGATCAGTGATTGACTAAAATCATTGTTCTCTTACCATCTGGCACGTAATCCACTGCAGTCACGACGGACCCACGCAAGTGAATTGAGCCAAGAGGATCATCCTCACCCTTAAGACAGAGAGAGAGGGGGGAAGAGAGGAGAGGGAGAGAGGGGGGCGGGCAGAGGGAGAGAAAGAGAGAGAAAAAGAGAGAGACAGATAGAAAGTCAGAATGAGGGAGGGCGACAGAGGGAGAGGGAGAGGGACAGAGAGGAGTAGGGAGAGAAAGGGGTGGAGAAAAAGAGAGAGTGAGAGAGAATGAGTGGGGAAAGAGACAGAAGGAGAGGGAGAGGAAGAGAGAGGGGGAGGAGAGAGAGAGGATGGGAGAGGGGGACAGAAGGATGGAAAGAGAGAGAGAAAAAGAGATAAAGAAACAGAGAAAGGGAGACAGAAGGACGGAGAGACAGGAATGGAGAGAGAGCGAGAGAATGAGTGGGGAGAGAGACAGAGGGAGAGAGAGAGAAAGAAAAAGAGAGAGAAAGAGAGAAGAAGGGACGGAGACAGAGAGAGAGAGACAGACGGAGGGTAAGAGAGGAGTGGAGAGAGAGGGGTGGAGAAAAAGAGAGGGTGAGAGAGAGAGAATGAGCAGGGAGAGAGACGGAGAGAGAGAGAGAGAGAGAGACAAAGGGAGGGAAAGACAAAAAAGAGAGAGAAAGAAAGAAGAGGAAGAGATAGAGGAGGGGAGACCGAGAGGGGGGAGAGAAAAAAGAGAGGGAGAAGTAAGAGAGAAACGTGGAGAGAGAGTGAGTGGGGAGAAAGCAAGAGGGAGAGAGAGAGAGAGAGAGTTAGAGAGAGAGACAGGAGAGGGAGAGATATATGATATATGTAAATAAGCTTTGTTGTGATTGGCTGCCCTGTACTGTACTTAATTCACAATATAGATCTGGTATACTGTGAGTCTGGGCTGAAACACTCCTTATAACTTCAGTATAAATGGGCGGGGCTAAACTGCTGTAGGCTGAATAGGTGGCTACATTTACAGGCACTGGTTTTGGTGAAACCAATGAAATGAAAAAATGAATTCATACCAGAAAGCTTAGTTTCCATACATGGACTGAGAGCGAATGGTTCACTTTAAAACAGTTACAGACTAACTTAAACTCTTTTATCTCAAAACAAAAGAAGAAAATTCATTTTCAGTTTCAGTTTCAAAACTTTTTTTTTTTTCAGTTTTGCTATGGTCCCTTTAAGAGATCAACTCCAGGCCTACTCTTGATAACAGAACCTTCCTCACCTTAGCAGGGTCGTAGTAGTGGATGTACGCAGGATCGTCTCTCAGGATAAACTTTCTCACCTTCCAGTTTTTTCTTCGGTGACCCTTTTGAACAAAAAGAGGAAGAAGTTCAGGCTTCCTCTTTGAGCGTAAACCTCTAGTGGACGGAGGATGATGGATAGTGGATAGAGGATAGAGGATAGCTGTCAACAACCACAACTTCTCTTATGCTTCCCGTTTCCTTGTTTAGATGATGAGCAAGAGTCATACTGTAAACCCAATACCTGTTTGAGCAGACAGCCTTGTTTGACTATGGCTCCTCTGAACTCCTCCTTCACAATCACGTCCTCGTCACTCGAGTAGCCTTCGCAGTAGAAGCCGCTGTCAGCCTGCACAGAAACATTTTCACCTCCTGAAAAATTATTATTATTTAAATATATGCAGCACTGTTTCCAGTCAAAACTGCAAGAACAAGTTAATCATTTTCAGATGTTTCTGAGGCGTTTAGATATAAAATAATCCACTTGCACGAATAAGGAAAAAGTCAAAGTATAAAAATAAGAGTTTTCAAAACTGGAGATCAAAAATTATTGAAAGCTACAGAGAAAATGTAGCTCCTAACAACCACCTGGAAGACCTGGTAGACACCAAAACTGCCCCCATCAGATAATCAGCACTTAAAGCTTTCATCTCTGAGAGAGAGGAGAAAATCAAGCTGCTTCAGATCTGAAAACATCCACAGGTGTTTCTCAACATCACTGAATGTGTTTGATTACTTCAGAAAACCAACTTCTAAGACTGAACTTTGGAGGTGTGTCTGCAGATTTCTTTAAGAAACTGAAAGTGAGTCTCCTGAAAAGAATAGAAGCTGGAATTAAAGTAAAGAACGACAAAGTAAATACTGAAAAATGTGATTTAGTTGTTGAAAATTCGGTGTAATTTTCTGTTAAATTTGAATCTTATTCCTGATGCTGGAACATGGTACTATAACTGGTACTTTAAGGCAGTTCTGATATTAAGTTAAATAAACAGAGCAATAAAAACAGTACTCTATTTATTGCAGTTAACCTCTTTATGCAGGAACTTTAGGCAGAAAGCACCTCTTCAGTGCAGAAAAATATAGGGGAGATTTTGGCTTTGGTTCGTGTCTTATAGCTGGTTTTCTATAAGATGTACAGCATTAATTAAAGTCAGAAAATTGTTTACATTTAAACAAAAATAAAGTGTAGCTATCAGTGGACTTCTCTTTTGTAAATTCATGTTGTATTGATTTAAACATGAACCACTGAAAGGCCCATGTTCTAAATTTTTCTTGTATTTTATTTGTTTCCCTGAGATCCACTTCTAACGCTTGCCTGGGTTTATATACCAAAACAGTTATAATTCATTTTACATGAGCATTTCCAACCTCTCTTTACCTCTTAGAATTAAACAGGCTGTTTTTGTTGATCTCCCTGTAAGACTGAAATATTGTGCCTCATTCAAAAAGCAGTCCAGGCTGAAACACTCCTTATAATGTCAGCATGAATAGGTGGAGCTAAACTGATATAGGTTAAATAGACATATTCAGCCTACTGCAGTTTAAAACCTTGTATACGATTGTATTGTGTCATGTGACTTTTTCCATTATCTTACATTCAATGAAAGTTAATGTGTATAGTTAATATATATATATATATATATATATATATATATATACACTGATCAGGCATAACATTATGACCACCTCCTTGTTTCTACGCTCATTGTCCATTTAATCAGCTCCACTTACTATATAGGTGCACTTTGTAGTTCTACAGTTACAGGCTGTAGTCCATCTGTTTCTCTGCATACTTTGTTAGCCCCCTTTTACCCTGTTCTTCAGTGGTCAGGACCCCCATGGACCCTCACAGAGCAGGTGCTATTTGGGTGGTGGATCATTCTCAGCACTGCAGTAGTGCTGATTTGGTGGTGGTGTGTTAGTGTGTGTTGCGCTGGTCTGAGTGGATCAGAGACAGCAGTGCTGCTGGAGTTTTTAAACACCTCAGTGTCACTGCTGGACTGAGAATAGTCCACCAACCAAAAATATCCAGCCCACAGCGTCCTGTGTGCAGCAGCAGATGAGCTATCGTCTCTGACTTTACATGTACAAGGTGGACTGACAAGGTAGGAGTGTCTAATAGAGTGGACAGTGAGTGGACACAGTGTTTGAAAAGTCCAGCAGCACTGCTGTGTCTGATCCACTCACACCAGCACAAAACACACACTCACACACCACCACTACATCAGTGTCACTGCAGTGCTGAGAATGACCCACCACCAAAACCTGCTCTGTGGTGGCCTTGTAGGGGTCCCGACCACTGAAGAACAGGTTGAAAGGGGGCTAACAAAGTATACAAAGAAACAGATGGACTACAGTCTGTAATATAGACTATGAATATATTTATAGTCTATAAATGGAAACTATACTGCATGTTCTTTTTTTGTGGTCATGAAACCGAACACACTTATATGTATACACACACACTCATATACACATACAAATATATGTATATACAAATAAATGTACACATATATGTACATATATTTTTAGAGCTATATATGTCTATATATATGTAGACCTTTTAGTCCTTTTAAAGATGTGCAGATTTTGGTGAGATTGTTGGTGTGCTCTTAATATGAATGTTATTTTTAAAGTGATCAGACAGGCTCTGTGAAGAGGCTACTGGTGTGTGCAGTGTCCCACGTTCCAGTCAAATTCACTCACAAAGTAGTAAAGAGCGTCATGCTGGTCCAGCAGCACTGACTCTGCACCACCCTCAGCGGCTTCTTTAGAAATCTCTCCAGCGGGCTGCAGGAAGCCCTCATTCAGCAGCCCTGTGGCCAACATCACACCTTCTGCCCTGTTCCTGACCTTCCCCTCAGAGATCAGCCAGTCAATCACAGTGTTACCTGCACAGGAAATGAGCGTACATTGTAGATATCATTCACAGACACAGACGAGAAGCAGCACAGATACTGCATAACCACCACAATGACCTGTTATGGCATAAAGGAAGCAATTTATTAGGCCTGCATGAGCCTCCATAGAATCAGTCTATGCTTATATATATATATATATATATATATATATATATATATGACTGCGCAAAAGTCAGAGACTCTTCATTCATTTAATTCCTGGTCAAAGTGGATATTAAGTACAAGTTATTCATTTTTCTGCATCAGGGAAAATGCAGAAAACACTTTAAAATGTGTTAGGTCTGGACTCTGGGGTGGTCAGTCCATTGTTCAGCTTCTTTGTTTGATGTGTCCGTCTCCTTTTCTCAGTGAGGTTCTTCTTGACAGCTACACATCCTTTCAGACCCACAGCGCTGAGTCGTCTTCTCACAGTGGAAGGATGGACAGAAACACCTGTGGATGTTTTCAGATCTGAAGCAGCTTGATTTTCTCCTCTCTCTCAGAGATGAAAGCTTTAAGTGCTGTTTATCTGATGGGGGCAGTTTTGGGGTCTAACAGCTCTTCCAGGTGGTTGTTAGGAGCCCCATTTTCTTTAGAGCTTTTAATGTTTTGTGAATTGCAGTTTTGGCAAACTATTGTTTTTATCACAAGTGTTTTGTCTTATATCTAATCTACTCAGAAATATCTCCTTTAAGATGAATAACTTGTACACTTTGAAATGAAGGGTGGTCACTGATTTTTGCGCAGCACTCTGAGTTCTGTAGATCTTAGAGTGAGGGGCTATAGTGTGGGCCCACATAAAGGCCAAAAGGTTAAGTGGTCTTGATGATACAGTTTGAAAGACGAATGCTGCAGGCTTTGTTTCTCCAGACTGCTTTGATGGTTTTTCACAAACATACTGGAAGAAACTTAATCAAGTGTTTAGGCTGCACATTGATCATTCTGTCTGATATTTCTTACCAGTGAAGCAGTGGCTGAAGAGCTTCTTGTCCTTTTCAACTTTCATCTCTTTAATGCCTGAGTCTTGGTCTTTCATCAAAACGTAGAGCTCACTTAAAAGAGAACACACAGCAGCTACAACATCACACATTTACCAAAAGTAAAACCATCTCTGCTCATGTGTGACAAAGTCCTATCTATACTCTCTTCTCACAGAAAGACGAGGGGGTAGCATTACTTCTATTTATTTATTTATTTATTTACAAATTCACAAAATTACAAACTTCAAAAAAGTTAGGAAAGTATATGTAATGTTAACAAAAACAGAAAGCAGAGGTTAACAACTTCCATTTGACCTGTATTCAGCTGAAACCGGTGTAGTATTTGATGTTTTACTCATGAACTTCATTGTGTTTTTGTATATATACTCATTCCAAGTTTGATTTCTACCATAAGTTCCAAAAAAGTTGGGACAGGAGCATGTTCACCACTGTGTTACATCACCTTACCTTTTAACAGCGCTTATTAATAGTTTTGGGGACTGAAGACACAAACTGATCCAGTTCTGAAAGCAGAATTTACTGCCATTCTTCTGGTACAGAAGTCTTCAGCTGTGCAGCCATATGGGGCCTTCATAGTCATATTTTACACTTCATAACGCACCACACAGTTTTGGTAACACTTTGTTTGGGGTGGTCCTTTGTAGATGATTAATAAACTCTTAAGAAATTATCAGTAACACATCAACAGCGTATCAGTGAAGCAGCAGTAGTGAAATATCTGAATACACTGAAGTAAACATCTTGTAGATGTTCTGTTGATACATGAATCCTAACCCTAACCTTAACCTTAACCCAAAACCTAATCCTAACCCTCACCCTGGCCTAAACCTAACCCTCACCCTGGCCCTAATCCTAAACCTGACCTTAACCTCAACCCTAAACCTAATCCTATCCCTGGCCCTAATCCTAACCCTAATCTTAACTTCAACCCAAAACCTAATCCTAAACCTCACCCTGCCCCTAATCCTAACCCTAACCGTAACTTCAACCCAAAACCTAATACTAACCCTCACTCTGGTCCTAATCCTAACCCTGACCTTAACTTCAACCCAAAACCTAGTCCCTAACCCTGACCCTAATCCTAACTCTAACCATAACCTCAACCCAAAACCTAATCCTAAACTTTACCCTGGCCCCTAATCCTAACCCTAACCCTAACCTCAACCCAAAACCTAATCCTAACCCTCACTCTGGCCCTAATCCTAACCATAACCTCAACCCAAAACCTAGTCCCTCACCCTGACCCTAATCCTAATCCTAACCTTAACCTCAACCCAAAGCCTAATCCTAACCCTCACTCTGGCCCTAATCCTAACCTTAACCTTAACCTCAAACCTAAACCTATTCCTAACTCTCACTCTGGCCCTAATCCTAACCCTGACCTTAACTTCAACCCTAAACCTAATCCTAACCCTCACCTTAATGCTAACTCTAATATTAACCTCAACCCAAAACCTAATCCTAACCCTCACCCTGGCCCTAATCCTAACCTAAATTTAACTAAAACCTAATCCAGTGAAGCTCCAGGTACAGGATGGTGTCAGTGTGTCTATAACAGCTTGTTGAGGATGTTGATGGTCTGTATTAAACCTGTTACATGTTCGACTAATTTTATTTACAAAGTTGATTAAACGTCTGTTGATAATCTACTGAATGTATTCACTGCTTCTACATCATGGATATGTTGTTGATGTTACTAAGAGTCTGTCGAGTGTTTATTTCATCTAAATAGGACGACTCCAAATAAAGTGTCACTTGACAATGCTTTGCTGAAATATTCCCAAGCCCATGTGACGACGTCCATCACAGAAGCATGCTGGCTTTTAAAGCAGTGCCATCTGATGGATCGAGGGGCATTTAGTTTTAAGTTGACCTTTATGCGTGGAGATTGCAATCGCTTGTTCAGGAATGTTGTTCTTAGTCTGTCTGCATGTTTTGGCAAAGCGAGCCTCAGCATATCCTAGAAAAGAGTAGGATTTCCATGGAAGCTCCTTTTATACCCAACCATGATTGCTTCACCTGATTAAGGTGTTTGAACATTTCACAGTGTCTCTAGTCCCTAGAGAAGGGTCTGACTGTACAGCTGCAGAGCCGCAGATTTACATCTGCAGTTTCACTCCAGCGGTGTCAGGCCTGTGGAACGCATGCGCAGTTGGACAGCACGACTGTGCTGTGTAAACAAAGTCCTTATGGGAAAGTTGAGCGTTACAAGCTTCCTATTCATATTACAGCCAGTGGCTGGTCTCCTCATTTACAACGTCTCTGATGTAAACAGTGACTGTTTGTGCTCATTGTATGTGTCGCCATGCATGTCACCATTCAGCAAGTGATACCGTCACCAATATATAATCAACCATTGGTAATCAGGTAAACCATAAGCCAAAACACATTACAAAACTATCAGAAGCAAAAACAAACACTTAATGGTTTCCATGGATTTTTTCAGCAGGGATACATTCAAAAGCTAAAGTTTGTTTTAGCCTAAAGCTTAATATTAAGCTCAGTTTAAGTCTGCTTAAGGTAAAGTTTTATTCCTGCACATTTGTACACATAAAGCCCCCTTATTAAGGGTAAGTTAACTGAGCTATATGTGCACTTACTCATCGTACCCATTGATTTTCCCAGGCCACATCAGCTGTAGTTTGTGTAATATTTACCCTGTGAATCTGCACATGCATTCAAACCAAAGTTTGTTTTAACCTAAAGCTTAAAATGTAACGTTAGCCCAACCCAAACTTATCATAAATTTATTGGAAACTCACATAAAACGACTGAAATGTTGATTAGCCTAAAACTCGCTAAGAAAAACCAAACCAAGTGTGGGTGCATGCGCTGAACGCCACTGGCTTGAAACTGCTGGTGTGAAACTGCAGCTCTGAGGCTCTGCAGACAGATATTACTGAGTCCTTAATTGGCCCGTCTCAACATCAATTTCAGAATGGCTGTTTATTTACAAAAAACAATAATGTTGAAAAAATAACATTAAACATTAAACATCTTGCTTTAGTAGGGTTTTCTTCAAATACCGGTCAAGTGGATTTACAAATCACTGCTCTCTGTTTTTACTTGCATTTTACAGATTGTCTCAGCAATACTGTCTCAATTTATAGTAACTGAGGTTCAAGATGTGAGTGACAAAATGTGACATTTTATATTGGAGTATTTCTATGATTTTTTGATAACACTTTCTATGAATGTCACCTTTGTAAGCATCTATAAACACATTCATAACATGCTATAATGCATTCATAAGGCATTATAAACATGGCTATAAATATTTATAAAAATGCATTATACGTTATAGCCATGCTTATTATGCATTATGAATTGTTAACATAATGCATTATAAGTACTGTTCATAACAAATTCTACGAGCTCATAAGTTGTATTTGTCCGCTCTAAGTAAAGTGAAGCGTACTGTACTAAAGCCTCCTCCAGTGTTCAGAGTGAGGCTTCAAGTTGAAGTATTTACTGAAGAATTTACTGAAACAGTAAAACATTCACAGTAAAGCACATTACAGGCTTCAAATGTCAGAGTTTAAACTAGTGCTGCCATCAGTGTTTTACCCAATGTGGGAAAGTCAATGTACACCACCGTTAGCTTGGTATTTGTCTTTACTTTGCAGTCTCCAAGCTGGGACTGACTTCTTTGGCACTGACATTATAACATGTTATTAACACTACTTATAATGCATTATATTAACAATTCATAATATATAATAAACATGGCTATAAAGTGTAATCCAGTGTAATTCATTTTTATAAGTGTTTATAATCATGTTTAAAATGCCTTATGAAGGCATTATAACATGTTATAAATGCATTTATAGATGCTTACAAACATGACATTCATAGAAAATGTTACCGATTTTTTAATTTATTTGCAAGGACTGTGTTCAGTATTACCATTTTAGGTTGAACACAAACATAATTCTGAGATAATAACTTTACTATAAACATTAGCATTCGGTCTCATATGCCTTGCTTTTAGTGGCAACTTAGAGCCAGTCACCCACACACTTTCCTTCAGCCACTTTCAGTTCTTGTTTGTTTCAGGGGGTATCCAATTTAAGTCTACTTTTCAAGAAGTGAAATGCATGTGTCACTGGATATTCAGTTTCGCTCTCCCAGAACACGTGCTCCAAGAGCTAACAGCAAACTTATTCTGTTTAAATACTCAAAAATCATTGGTATTATCTTCTTTTTCATCTTTCAGAATTTTAAATGACAGTAAAAAATGTTTTCCCCACTATACTCAATCATTTTTGGAGGACACTATATAAGAACAGTCTCTTTTCCTGGTATTCAGTAAATCATACCTTAGATTAACTGTTTCAGGCAATCGAATGGACCTCCTGGTAGACTTCCTGGCAAACCTCTTGCCTCCCTGCAAACACGTGATGGCTCTTTTGATGTCTTTGACCCAGAGCTCCCTCTCCTCCAGGTGAGTTGCTTGAAAGAAATGGTCCTGCTTCTTAGCTGTGCTCACCTTAAACACGAACTGTTAGAGAGCAAGAACACAATTGTGGCAAACAGCTTCTCACCATATAACTATACACCGATCAGGCATGACATTATGACCACCTCCTTGTTTCTACGCTCATTGTCGATTTTATCAGCTCCACTTACTATATAGGTGCACTTTGTAGTTCTACAGTTATAGACTGTACTTTGTTAGCCCCCTTTTACCCTGTTCTTCAGTGGTCAGGACCCCCATGGACCCTCACAGAGCAGGTACTATTTGGGTGGTGGATCATCCTCCGCACTGCAGTAACGCTGATGTGGTGGTGGTGTGTTACTGTGTTACTACCTTGTCAGTCCACCTTGTAGGTGTAAAGCCAGAGACGACAGCTCATCTGCTGCTGCACAGTTTGTGTTGGTCATCCTCTAGTCGTTCATCAGTGGTCACAGGTTGCTGCCCACAAGACACTGTTGGCTGGATATTTTTGGTTGGTGGACTATTCTCAGTCCAGCAGTGACACTGAGGTGTTTAAAAACTCCAGCAGCACTGCTGTGTCTGATCCACTCAGACCAGCGCAACACACACTAACACACCACCACCACGTCAGTGTTACTGCAGTGCTGAGAATGATCCACCACCCAAATAGTACCTGCTCTGTGAGGGTCCATGTGGGTCCTGACCACTGAAGAACAGGGTAAAATGGGGCTAACAAAGTATGCAGAGAAACAGATGGACTACAGTCTGTAACTGTAGAACTACAAAGTGCACCTATATAGTAAGTGGAGCTTGCAGTTTTCAGCTCTTTGACTGCTTGTTTTATGTTAAAGAATATTAAATACTGCACTTAAAAGTAACTTTTATCCATTAACTGCTTTTGTTTTACTCTGAAACCTGAAATGACCAAAAGCAAATTTTCAATAAAATTTAATTTTGTAAGTTACCTGTAGTTATTTTTACTTAGTCAGAACAACGGAATTACAGTCTAATTGATTTTACCTGGAATGCATAATAAAAAAACATGATTTATGAAAATTCATTAAAATAGAAAGATCTGTTTTTGCTAATGAACTCTCTCTCTCTCTCTCTGTAAATATATATACATATATATATTTACATATACATATATATTGTGTGTGTGTGTGCGTGTGTGTGTGTGTGTGTGTGTGCGTGTGTGTGTGTGTGTGTGTGTTTTAATACGCCATTTTCACATTGTTCCTGCTGGAAGTAGTCAGTGCAGGGTGATGCAGGGTGAAGCAACAACAATAATAACCATGATGAGTACAGCGTCTACAGCTCACTGAAGTGTTTGAGTCTGAAACAAAACCAGCCTTATCTCAGTTTCAGTGGTTTGTCTACAGAGGCAATACAGACCATGGTGCCCAGGTGTACCACTGCCGGCATGTGTGCGTGTTCAGCTTTTTGCCTACTAGTTTATTGTTAGCGAGCTGTTTCAACATCTCCCTCTAAACCCAGCATATTGGTTATAGTTATTTTCACCAATCCATCGATAAACCACGCTGAAGACGTTAGCTGATGTTACTGTACTAAATAAAGTTCTTGTTTGTATCATTTCAGTTCACCATTCTGGACTCATCCTCGAATTTCAGTCTTGGTGACAAAAATAAAGTGGCGCACTTCTCTGTGGTGGCTGACGTGATACAAACATCTGTATTTCTGAGGTTAGTAACTGTCCATTAGGCAATAGCGGATCTTATTTTACCCAGCGTTTTTGCACTTCCGGTTCTTGTGAAAAGGGCCTATCACAACCCAGACTTTATCTACATGCTGCTTTAACATTTACCAGTTTTTTGTTGTCTAGGAGCTTTATGGCATTTACTTTTGTTCTATTATTGTTCTTTCTGTTCTTATCTTTATGTGTTGATCAGTATTAGCACTAGGAGTAGCATTAGTAGTAGCACCTACAGTAGCACTAGCAGTAGCAGTAGCAGTAGTGCTAGTAGTAGTAACAGTAGTAGTAGCAATAGCAGCAGTATTAGCACTAACATTAACACTAGTAGTAGCAATAGCAGCAGTATTAGCACTAACATTAACACTAGTAGTAGCAATATCTTCAGTATTAGCACTAATATTAACACTAGTAGAAGCAATAGCAGCAGTATTAGCACTAACATTAACACTAGTAGTAGCAATATCTTCAGTATTAGCACTAATATTAACACTAGTAGTAGCAATAGCAGCAGTATTAGCACTAATATTAACACTAGTAGTAGCAATAGCAGCAGTATTAGCACTAACATTAACACTAGTAGTAGCAATATCTTCAGTATTAGCACTAATATTAACACTAGTAGAAGCACTAGCAGCAGTATTAGCACTAACATTAACACTAGTAGTAGCAATATCTTCAGTATTAGCACTAATATTAACACTAGTAGTAGCAATAGCAGCAGTATTAGCACTAACATTAACACTAGTAGTAGCAATATCTTCAGTATTAGCACTAATATTAACACTAGTAGTAGCAATAGCAGCAGTATTAGCACTAACATTAACACTAGTAGTAGCAATATCTTCAGTATTAGCACTAATATTAACACTAGTAGTAGCAATAGCAGCAGTATTAGCACTAACATTAACACTAGTAGTAGTAATAGCAGCAGTATTAACACTAACATTAACACTAGTAGTAGCAATAGCAGCAGTATTAGTACTAGCAGAAGTACTGGTAGTAGCAGAAGCAGTAGTTGTAGCAGAGGTGGCAATAGCAGTAGTAGCAGTACTTGGAGCAGTGCCAGTAGCAGTAGTAATAGTAGTAGTAGCACTAGCAGCAGTATTAGCACTAACAGTAGCACTAGTAGCAGTAGCAGTAGTAGTAGCAGCAGTAGTAGTAGTAGTAGCAATAGCAGCAGTATTAGCACTAGCAGTAGCAGTATAGTAGTAGCAGCAGTAGTAGCACTAGTAGTAGTAGCAGTATCCAATGTCCTTAATAACACAGAACGTTTAGTCATCCAAGGCAATTAATTTTATTTTATTTTATAATTTTATTTTATAATTTTCATGTTGACTGTTATTTATGAATTTTTTGTCATTTTAAAAATGAGTCTACAGATGGCATCAGAATCAAACTGGTACTGGAAAAGTTCTTGTTTGTGTTATATTCTCTCCTAATACTCAACATGAACAGAGATGATACATTTTGTGTCTAATGTCCCTCATAGAAACTGTGATAGTTACACATGGGTGCTCGATGCTGATCTGCTGCCGCTCAAACTGTTTGAACACATCTGTGCTGACTGGCACAGGAAGCTGAAGAAAACTGTGTTTTTAATCACTTTCTCATTTTAATTAACAGATGATTTTGATGCTTTGTTGTAGGCCTATTTATTTATTTATTAATTTATTTATTCATTCATTCATTCATTCCTTCCTGTCAAAATTTTGGCCATTTTTCTATTTTGGCCAAAAACTGAAATTGTCATTATGAACTATTTTTGGAAAATAGTTTTTGGTGACTGAAAGTTCAGTGCATCTTGTTATTATCATTATTATTATTATTATGTAGTAGTAGTAGTAGTAATTGTCATGTTTGCAGCGTGTATCACCATTCTCTTGTTGAAGTCCTGGCAGGGGCTGGTCAGCGTGGCTCCCTTTAATGGAATCATCCCCTTTGGATTGCTGTCTGTTTTCTTCTTATAAAACTCTATTCCGTCATCTGCTAACACCACCCACACCACCTTCCATGAGTTCAGTACAGTACCCTGCAGGAAGAGATAAAAAAAAAAAATTAGAGCGTGGTGTAATACATGCACTTCACAGTTCTAGCTTCCTCATAATGGCCACTTTTTTCTTTCAACATCAAAGCCTAAATCATTTGGTTTTCTTTTATACTCAGGTGATAGTGCTGGTTTGTGCACACTGACTCTAAACAAACACACCATCTGCAGAAAAACACCATTCAGACAATCGATAACATCAGTGAGTTGCAACTTTAATATGGTTTTTAGGGGTGAACATCTCTAGGAACCTGGTGATTTAATTTGATTTCAATTCTGGGTGCCCAGGTGTGATTATAAAACAACTCTCAATGCATCTTGATCTTTTATTTCTATAGCCTACACTGTGATCTTTTTCCTGTATTTGTGACTACAACACAAAAATAGCTATTTTATTTACTATCCAAAACCACCAGTCTTCTGAGTTTTATATGTAATGTTGATGGTAAAAGTAGTTAAAAAGTGGCTATTTTGCCTCACAACACCCAGGTACCTCTCCACCCTGAATGTGTTTTAAGAATATTAACTTTATTGCAAATGTGTCCTAAAAACAATGTCTAAGGCAGCAACCATTTTGTGTTAATAACTTTCTGTGAGGGAGCTTTTAGAGGTGGACGTCTGGTTCCTATCACCACCACTGTGAACAGTTCTGACTCTGTACAAGGGGCATGAAACCATCGCCCACAGTCACAAAACAGATGAAATACTGTAAATGGGGAACACAATTCTAGAGCGGAAAGCAGATATTGAAACGTAGTGAACAATTTCTTTCATTTTCATTTCTTCAGGCAACGTTCTGCTTTTTGACTATTCTTAGTCTCTACATGTTCTTGTATAAACCCCGCAGGCTCTTTCTGAGGCTCAGAACACTGTAAACAGCAGCTGGGACAACTTAAAGGAATGATTTTGATTTTTTTTTATTGTGTTTTCTTATGCAGCAAAAAATACAACAACTAGAACAGACATGTCTCTGTTTTACGTAATTTTATCAGAGTTCTTGAGCTCCATTTCAAGTAGACTAAGTTTTTATTTGCCTTTAAATCTTTAATTTCCCAGGCTTATTACAACCTTATTAAGGCTTATTACTCAGTAACCACATTGACTACAAGGCAGATTGGCTCAGTCACCCGTGGGCAGGTCCTGGCCATTTATTAGGCAAGCTAACAAATATAGCAGCTTTTTCACAAAATGTGAGGGAGTTCTATCTTTATCTCACACCCAAATTTGAGTCTCTTGTGACTGACCTTAATGCGCAGTGTTGCCCATCTGACACTCTACTCATCAAAACCTGACAGTTACAGAAGTATTTTTAGCTGTGGTTTAAGGGGAAGTTGCTGCTTTGTCTTCTCCACCCCAAATATGAGCAAAAAAAAAGGAAAAAACATTGAAGCCGAGTGTTCTCGCTGTCTGGCTGTTTGTCTCTCGGGGCCAGAAACCAAAATCTTACTGGTCTTTTGCCCAACCACGCATAGAAAACAACGGCCAAGAAGTACATACAGCCTCACTTTCCATACATACAATAACTCATAACCCATATACTGTGCATATTATATTCAGCAGCTGAGGCATTTGTGTAATTTTCCATTTTCAGCTTTTTTTCCTGATGCTGAAAAATGTATTATTACTAAAATTATTACACTGCAAGGGACTCTTTGTAGGCAGACACTTAAATTTATCTGCATTACTACATTATTCATGGATTAGTTTCATAGTAGATATGAATACTTTATAGCAGTTACTAAACCATTTTCAGCAGTTCCTGAATACTTCAGGGTTATACAGTACTGAACAGTTTATAGTTGTTACTGAATCATTCATAATAGTAACTGAATCATTTACAGTAGTTACTGAATCATTCCTACTAGTTATTGAATCATTCACACTAACTACTGAATCTTTTATAATAGCTACTGAATCATTTATAGTAGTTGCTAATTTATAATGGTATCTGAATCATTTATAGTAGTTGCTGAATCATTTATAATAGTATTGAATCACTTATAATAGTTATTAAATCATTTATAGTAGTTACTGAATCATTCATAATAGTTATTGAATCATTCACTCTAATTAATGAATCTTTTATAATAGCTGCTGAATCATTTATATTAGTTACTCAATCATTTACACTAGTTACTGAATCATTTACATTAGTTATTCAATCATATATAGTTACTGAATCATTATTATTATTATTATCTTACTTTTATAAAAGTTACTGAAATTGTTCCTGAATCATTTATATTAGTTGCTGAATTATTTATGATAGTTACTGATTCATTGTAGTTACTGAATAATAAGTCTTACGATTTATAACTGAATAATAAGCCTGCAGTTTAAAAGTTAATGACTAATTATATATATATATATATATATATATATATATATATATATATATATATATATATATATATATATATATATATATCTTTGTTTCAGTCAAAAACATCACTCATCAGTTCAAAATGGGTGCCAACACAAAATGGGTGCCTTCTGTATTATGAAGAGGCATCTACTACAAACCAGAACTTTGGTTTTCTGTTTAAATCTACAGGCTCTTACCTTTTTCACCAGGTATCCTTCTCGAATGGTGCTGGGCTCCATGGCTGTGAGCTGTGCTCAGCTGTGTGTCTGCTGCAAGGTGTGGTGAGTGTGAGGACTAAGGCTCCAACAGTAGTTTTTATGTCTGCTTGCATAATAACCGTATACCCTATCTTGACAAAAGGGAAGTGGTTGTGTGAACATGAGTCACACATGTTCATGGTCAGCTCGGCTGCTGTGTAGTTTCAGCCGACACACCAAATGAGTCGCAAAGATACTTGCATGTCTTAACCTCTAGCATTGCTAAACGATGAAGAAATAATACGAGCTTATTCCAGTGAGTCAAAGCAGTTTGTCTTAGATAGAACTATGACACATATTTTGGCATGTGTTGAATTAGTGTAGACTTAGACACAAGGCATCTTCTCTGAAACAGTAGCAGCAGTGCTGACTGGCAGACAAATGTATTTGTTAGTTGATTTTATTACTTTATGTTTTGCTTAAAGGGCCCACATCATGGAAAATGGTTCACTTTTGTGGCATAAAACAAATTTGATGTACTACGTAAACCTTGTTCAAGTTTAAAAACATTTCATCCAAAATCTCCAGTCCATGCAGTCCATATATGGAAAATAAGCTGCAAACATGGCCTGTTTTGAATTAATTGTTTTTGTGATGTCATGAAAACAGACACATTCACATATATCTGCCTATTCGGCCTACAGCAGTTTAGCCCCACTTATTTAGGTTTAAGTTATGAGGAGTGTTTCAACACTGTGTTTTTTAACAATAAGGCACAATACAGGGCAGCCAATCAAACAGCTCATATACATATATCTGTCTTAAAGGCACAGTAACAAAAACAGAATGTTTAATTCTAAGGGATGTTCATGTAAAAATGAATTACAACTGTTTGTGGGGCATGAACACACACACACACACACACACACACACACACACACACACACACACACGGACACACAATATACATATTATATATTGCTGTTGTCAGAAGAAAACCTTGTATAACTTCACAGGAGAAGGATAAAACCTACTTTACTCTTAATGTAGGTCGATTGAACCAGACTTTTTCTCCAAGTCATTTTGAGCCAAAAACTAAAAAATGACAAAAATGGCGATACAAGGTTTTCTTCTGACAGTACTATTTGGATGGTGGATCATTCTCAGCACTGCAGTAGCGCTGATTTGGTAGTGGTGTTTTAGTGTGTGTTGCGCTGGTCTGAGTGGATCAGAGACAGCAGTGCTGCTGGAGTTTTTTAAACACCTCAGTGTCACTGCTGGACTGAGAATAGTCCACCAACCAAAAATATCCAGCCAACAGCTTCCTGTGGGCAGCGTCCTGCACTGATGAACGACTAGAGGATGACCAACACAAACTGTGCAGCAGCAGATGAGCTATCGTCTCTGGCTTTACACCTACAAGGTGGACTGACAAGGTAAGAGTGTTTAATAGAGTGGACAGTGAGTGGACACAGTGTTTAAAAAATCCACCACCCAAATAGTACCTGCTCTGTGAGGGTCCATGGGGGTCCTGACCACTGAAGAACAGGGTAAAAGGGGGCTAACAAAGTATGCAGAGAAACAGATGGACTACAGTCTGTAACTGTAGAACTACAAAGTGCAACTATCCATCCATATATATATATATATATATATATATATATATATATATATATCTTTTTTTTCACAGCTCTGCTCTGTAGTAAAAGAAATATATATATATATTTCTTTTTTTTCACAGCTCTGCTCTGTAGTATCTGTCAGACGCTTCATGCTCATTTCCTCAAAGACAGCTCTGTGTAGGTTCCAGGGTGCCCTCTTTTGGTCACTGTGATGTCCTACATAAATTAAGGTCACAGCCCATTTTACAGATGAAGAAATCTGTTAAAACAGTTCGGTATTGACAGTTGAGTGATAAAAGGAGAGGATTCAGCATTTTGCTCAATGGTGTTTGCAGCCTCATTAAATCTCAGTAGTCCAGTGGTTCTTAGTTACAGTTTAGCAGTTTTTTTTTTAAATCATTTTGGTTAGAAATAAAATGTTAAAGTTAGAAAATAAAAGGTGTGAACAGCAGTGAAGTAGCGCAGGTGCTGAACCAAAGCAACAGCATGGAATGAACACAAAACGGCCTTATGAGCTTAGCGCTAATCACTGAAATGGAACTAAACATAGGAGAGTTCTGACACCAAAACATGCTTCCCCCCGAGGAACAAGCTGATGTTTTGATGCTTTTTAAAGTATGTAGGCCACGCGCTGCATTTAGTAACTTCATATGAATTACTAAAATGTAACTGATTAAAAAGTAGATCCCCACAAAATATGATCATGTTTAAGCAAAAGTATTGAAAACATTGAAATATTACTTAAACAGATGTAACTGAATGCATGTATCTGTCTCAGAAGGTAAATATTAAGGCTATAATGCTGTAATTTTCATCATTTAAAGGTGCAGTGTGTAAGATTTAGGGGGGTCTATTAGCAGAAATAGAATATAATCTACAAAACCATGTTTATATTAGTGTATAATCACCTGTGTCACAAATCGTTGAGCTTTCATTAGCTTAGAATGAGCCCTTCAAATCTATATAGGGAGCAGATCCACGTCCAACAGAGGCCATCATGTTTCTATAGTAGCCCAGAACGGAAAAACCAAACACTGGTTCTAGAGGGCGCCTTTCGTGTTTTACACTGAAGCGGCAGCTTAAATCTGGTGGCGCTGTAGCTCCTGTTGGAAGACATATAAAGAAGAAGAATCAGTGGTTGCTACTGGCGGAGAACTTGTAGAGAGGAGAATTACCACTCTGTAATGTCTTCCTGGTTTCTCAAACGCTAGAGGGCGCTCCCGAGCAAGTCCAAAATGAATGGGTTGATATGGAGCCTTTGAGCAAAATCATAGTTTATAAATGCTGCAACATTTTTAATGTAAAAGAATTCATTCATTTCCTGAGCACAGAGCAGTATAAGACATTTTAACACCGCTGTTATATTTTAAGAGCTTTTAAACTCGAGTTATAGGAGTTTAAAACGGCGCCTCATGTACACCCATGATGTCAGTGAGCGCGAACAGCCAATGAGCTGCTCCGCTCGCCAATCAATCAGCACACACTAGCAGTAAAGCCCGCCTCCTGCTGCCCAAAACCTGTTTACTGTAGAAAAAAGGAAACATAAAGGTGAGATTTCTTTGTTTTTTTAGTGAAATCCATCTTTCTACTCTCTAAAATTAAAGAAACGTTCTGGGCGAGAGATTAAAAACTATTTTAACTTTTCATTTTTAGCCATTGAGCTCCATTTACTCCCATTCATTGAGGACTCACTCGTGGGCGCCCTCTGCTGTTTAGCAGTCCTGTTTTTGATATAATAGGGGGAAGTGGCCAGGCTCCTCATAAACCGGCTCTGGCTGCCGGTGCTGGCCAAACATTTTGTGTTGTGAGAATTTTGAGAAGCCAAATTTTGACAAATGGACAAGAAAAGGCGAGGGAGGGTGAATCACCATCAAAGAAGCAAAAAACATGAAGCAAAACGAAATTGTGACAGGCGACGGCAGAAAACCTACTACACGCTTGGAAAGGGAGATTCAGTTGGTTGCAATCTGTAACCTCGTGCATCAAAAAGGGTTCTGTTATCGTTACGATGTCAAGCCTGTACCAACAGAAGAACCCTTTTGGTGCTATATAGAAGGACACAACGTTCTCCATCAATCTGAAGAAGCATTTCAAGATGCAAAGAACCTTTTTTATTATGCAAAGCGTCCTTTGAGTGTTCACGGCTCTATATAGAACAATTTTCTGTATTAAAGAACCTCTGAAGAACCATCTTTTTTAAGCGTGTACATGTATAGACTGTAAACACTGATTTCAAAGATGCACTGAGAGTCATCAGTTCTTTCCCTTAGGACGTTTTTTGTGTTGAACTTGATGAAAGGGAAACTCCACTGCTTCTCCAAAATTTCAGTGGTTTAGAAGTAAGTCATTTAGGTTGGTTTGATGCGTCTATGTAACACACACACAAAGAGAAGGCTCTGATGTACAGGTCAAAAATCGCCTCCTGACCGGAGGAGGTTATTGCACGTCTCTTTGATCTCATTAGACTGGCACGCGAGTCCGCGGAGGATTACGGCTCGTGCGCGGGGGATTACGGACAGGCAGAGTAGGAATTGCATCAGGGCTGTTTGTTGGTCTTGTGCTGCTGTGTTTTCACGTCACTGGCTGCTCTGTGTGTTTTTCCTCCTCCTCCTGACCTCGTTCATCACAGCCGGCGGATCTCGACCTCCTCCTCTCACCTGCTCGCGCTCCTCCGTACAGCATCTCCGGGAAGCATGGCCCACCTCCCGCAGCTCATCAAGATCGGAGTGTCCCTCAAAACCACCCCCAACAACGGACCCGTCTTCTTCAAGACGGACGGGACGAGGTTCGGCCAGAGCCGGACCATCAAATTACTGACGGGCACCAAGTACAAAATCGATGTGGTGGTCAAGCCTGGCGCCGTGGAGGCGACGTGAGTATCGCGATACCGGGGACAGGTTCTCTCCTCCTCACTGAGCATCGTCTGCTTAGCCTACTTTCAGCCTACTTTCTCTTAGAGCGGGACACAATGGGATGGTTAATGCATTGTGAATGGCGCCCACTCTCAGTGTGACCGGTGTGGTGGTCAGTCGGTTGGACAGAGCAGGGAGAACAGAGGGAGAGGACAGATTGTGTACTCTGGCAGTCAAATCCACAGACGATTAGGAAAGACATCCACCATGTTACAGCTACATTAATGCTGCCTGTTATCACATGTTGGCCACACTCTTAAAAAGATGGTTCTTCAGTAAAGAAAAATGGTTCTAGATAGAACCATGAACACTCAAAGAACCTTTTGCATGCTTAAATGGTTCTTCGCATGGTGAAAGTGTTCTTCAGATTGATGGAGAATTTGCTGTAGATGGTTCTATACAGAACCTTTTTGAAAAGGGTTCCATATAGCACCAAAAAAGGGTTCTTCTATTGTTACAAGCTTGACATCATAACAATAAAAGAAAAATGGATCCATATAGAACCATAAACACTCAAAGAACCCTTTACATGATTAGTGTTCTTTGCATGGTGAAATGGCTCTTCAGAATGATGCATAATGTCTTGTGTATGGTTCTATGTAGAACCATTTAAAAAAAAAGGGTTTTACTATTGTTATGTCAAGCTTGTAACAATAGAAGAACCCTTTGTGGTGCTCTATCAAACCATACACAAGACATTATACATCAGTCTAAATAACCATTTCACCATGCAAAGAACCATTTGATCATGGTTCTTTGAGTGTTCCTGGTTCTATATAGATCAATTTTTTTCCTAAAGAACACTTGAACCATCTTTGAGTGTACATTCTTAAAAGGTTGTTCAAATGTTCTTTATAAGAACCATAAACACTTGAGCCACGTGCATGCTTATATGGTTCTTTGCTTGGTAAAATGGTTCTTCCGATAGATGGAGAGTGATTTGTATATTTTCAAAAATGGCTGTAGCACCAAAAAGGGTTCTGCTATTGTTACAATCTCAAGTTCATAGTTGAAGAAACCTTTTTGGTGCTATATAGAACCATATAACGTTCTCCATCAAGCTGGAGAACCAGTTTACTATGCAAAGAACAATTTAAGCATGCAAATGGTTCTTTGCATGCTAAATTGCTTCTCCAGCTTGACGGAGAATGTAAAATAGCCGAACCCTTTTTGGTGCTAAATGGAACCATATAAACATTCTCCATCAAGCTGGAGAACCAATTTACCATGCAAAGAACCATTTGAGCATGCAGTATTCATTGTTATATATAGAACCATTGCCTTTACTAAAGAACCCTTGAAGAACCATCTTTAGAGTGTAAGGTGCTGTGGGATCAGTAATGTGGCAATAAAGTATTGGACTGTTGACGCAGAGATGAACCATGGACAAAGTTTTAAAAATAAAAATAAATAAATAAATTTATTTATCTATTTAAAAAAAGAGGGCAGCACGGTGGCGCAGTGGGTAGCGCTGTTGCCTCACAGCAAGAATGGCCTGGGTTCGATTCCCAGCTGGGCGACCAGGGTCCTTTCTGTGTGGAGTTTGCCTGTTCTCCCCGTGTCTGCGTGGGTTTCCTCCGGGTACTCCGGTTTCCTCCCACAGTCCAAAAACATGCAGTCAGGCTGATTGCTAAAATTGCCCCTAGGTGTGAGTGTGTGATTGTGTATGTCTGTCTGTCTGCCCTGCGATGGACTGGCGACCTGTCCAGGGTGTATCCTGCCTTCCGCCCAATGACAGCTGGGATAGGCTCCAGCACCCCACCGCGACCCAGAAGGATAAGCGGTTTAGATGATGTACGTATGTATGTATGTATTTAAAAAAAGATGGTTCTACAAGGATTCCTCAGTAAAATGAATGGTTCTATTTAGAACCATGAGTTCTATATAGAACCATTTCATTCTTAAATGGTTGTTTGAATGGTGAAGTGTTGAAAGTATTATGTATGGTGCTATATAGAACCTTTTTAAAAAATGGCTCTATATAGCACCAAAAAGGTTCAAGCTTGACATCATAATAGCAGAACCCTTTGTGGTGCTATATAGAACTACTTTCAAAAAGGTTCTATATAGACCCACATACAATTCTCCATCAATCTGATAAACCATTTCAGCATGAAACTGGTTCCATGTAGAAATTATGGTTCCAGGTAAAACTATTATTTTTACTAAAGAACCCTCGAAGAACCTTTTTAAGGTAGCTAGGCAGAGTAGACTCTTATATGGTGCAAATGTAAAGGCACACCCCTCTTACCTGTTTGAAACCCCAGCTGGTACAAATAACCAAGCAGCTCCTGTAAACGAAGGTGGGAGTGTGCTGGCAACATAAGCCCACCCCCAACACAAGAGACAAGGTCTCCTGTGAACAGAACAGAGGTAGTATACTGGTAAAACACCAAACCTAGGCACACCCCAACACAAGCTGCAGTCTCTTGTAAAACAAAGCTAAAATGTGCAGGTAAAATAGCTGCTAATGCACAAATTAACACAAGCGCATTAAAACAAACTCAAATTTAGCCTACATATGATAACAGTTCTCGCTTCTTCAGCCAGCTTTAATGCAGTTTTAAGGATTAGGCTCCTCCTCCAATTACACCTGCCAGAATTCTGATTGATCAGAGGTTTTCCTCACATCACTGAGAGTAGCAAGCAGGTACACCTGTGGAGAAAGAGACAGGGCGAGAGAGACAGACACAAACAAAAACAAAATACATGCTTACATGTAACACTGCCTATCTTTTTATATTCTTCTTAAAGGCACATTATACAGTTCTGGAGGACGATTGTTGATTGTAAGTGAAGCTGAAGTTGGCTTCTTTTTTCCAGCTTGTTGGTCAAAGTTTCCTGTTCCACCTTTAAAAAGTGTAGCAGCTAGACTACATTCAGCGCCTCAGCTTCTTGTTTGAATTTTCCTGCTCCACCTTAAGTGGTGCACGCACACTGCTGTGTGGGTGGTCATTGTCTGGGGAAGGCAAAACAAATTATGGGGAGGGCCGACGTTTTCACAAGGCACGACTAACATGCACGCGCGGCTGGTCCGGCTATGAAAACAAAAACCAGAGCAGCTCAGATTACACACAGGGGGGTGACTTCATTTGCTTCTCATCACGCCATAGTGGATAGAAACATGACTTAATTAGCATTTTTTTCTGTCAAAATTACATAAATGCACAAAATATTGTGAAACATTTCAACAATAACCCGGCCAGTGTTTGTCTATAGAGATTGCATGGCTATCTGCTTGATTTTATACACCTGTCAGCAAAGGGTGTGGCGGAAACACCTGGACTCAATAATTGGGTGTCCACATACTTATGGCCATATTGCGCACTCACAAGCCTACCGGTCTCACATTATTTATGTCATAAAATTGCAATGCAGATCAATATATAAATTTGCACGTCCGGAGCAAAAGTCTGCCGATTGCGATGAGGTCTAACTAATTTTTATCCAACATTTCACAAACATTGTTGCACTAAATGCAATTAAACAGCACTAATTATGCTGTATTTAATGTTGCACACTCAGTTGGTCAGTGTTCTTTAAGTACTGACAATATGCACAATATACGTAAATATGAAATAAGACTTAATTTATCATGTTAACAATAATCATCACCATATTGTATTCTTGCCTATAGAATCCTTCATTTAAAACGCTCCCTACAAATGTCTGAACCTTCAGGTCCATGACCATTGGTGGTGTGACTTTTCCCTTGGAGCAGCAGTCCAAAGACCCCCAGTCTGTGATGTATTCAGGAATGTATGACACTGAAGGAGTGGCCCACACCAAAAGTGGAGAGAGGCAACCTGTCCAGGTCAGCATACAGGTAAGGCATCAAACTATACTGATGTCTTACCAAGGCATGTCGTCCCCTTGGACTTATAAGGTTTTATCTGAAATGTCTGTCAAAATTGTCAAAAATATTCTGATTATGTGACAACTTCTTAACTTTACGTGAGGTGTTTTTTAAGCTGTATGCATTTTTGGATTCTTTATCTCCAAAGTCAAACTCTAACTTAGTTCTATAAAGTTCTATCTTGAGCCAATCAGCACTTTGAATACACAGAAGAGGACCAATCAGGTTCTCCTTCTCCAATCAGGAGACGTTATGAAACATGAAAACATGTTGCTGAAACTCTGCCTGTTGTCTTGCAATTTTTTAAGCCTTATTGTCTTAAATTTTATAAATATTAAGCCTTAAAGGTCATTAAATAGTAATTGAATTGATGGGGTCTTAATTACATCATGAACATTAATTTCATTTATTCATCCATCTTTACATTTTCTTCTTTTTCCCATGTAAGACATTTTGGCTCATTAGAGTCACATTTCTGATAGAAAACAAAACCTGACGCTGCCTTTAGACTGACCTGCTACACTGACCTGCTGGGACAGTTTATTACAGTAGCTGGTTTCTGTCTAACTAAAGGAAACTTTAACTAATGGTTCAAATCTAGCATTGACCTATGCACTGGGCAAAATATTTAGCACTGACCTTTAGACTTAATTCATCAATCAATGCTTTTTTTTAAAAAAGAAAAAGATGACTCAAAGCAAGAAATGGCATGATAAATGAATTAATAATAAAAAGAAATGTGATAAAAATGCGGGGGGCACGGTGGCACAGTGGGTAGCACTGTTGCCTTACAGCAAGAATGGCCTGGGTTCGCTTCCTGGCTGGGCGACCAGGGTCATTTCTGTGTGGAGTTTGCCTGTTCTCCCTGTGTCTGCGTGGGTTTCCTCCGGGTACTCCGGTTTCCTCCCACAGTCCAAAAACATGCAGTCAGGCTAATTGAACATGCTAAAATTGCCCCTTGGTGTGAGTGTGTATGTATGTCTGTCTGTCTGCCCTGCAATGGACTGGCGACCTGTCCAGGGTGTATCCTGCCTTCTGCCCAATGACAGCTGAGATAGGCTCCAGCACCCCACCGCGACCCAGAAGGATAAGTGGTTTAGATGATGTGTATGTGTGATAAAAATGTCATGTAAAGCATTAAATGTAATGTCCTGCTAATGTAGACAGACTAACGTAGTTGCAACACTAAATTTATGTTTTAAAACAAATTACAAGTATAAACTGTTTGTGTTCCTTGAAAATCGATTCTTCTTTTTGTATTTTGCCAGATAGAACTTTATAACTCCAAGCAGAAAGTGAGGCCTTAGGATTAGGTTCTATTTGCATTTGACCTTGTCCAAAAAAACTCATTTACAGATGTGATAGGATTTTGATATTGTACATTTAGAATAAATTTAGGGTGTCTGTCCTTTTCGTGTATCAAAGAGGTGTGTTCCACATATCAGTTGTGCTATTTGGAATGCAAAATCTTTGAAGCTCAGTATCTCAAAACTTCCCAGAACGCAGATAGAACCTTATAATTCGTAAATTCTTTACTTTGTAAATTAACCAAACTGAGAAACTCATTTGACTTTTTTGTTGCCCTCTACAGTTTAACGAGGCTGGCCTCTTTGAGACTGTGTGGCAGGTGAAATTCTACAACTACAACAAGAGAGACCACTGCCAGTGGGGAAACAGCTTCAACAGCATAGAGTACGAGTGCAAACCCAACGAGACGCGCAGCCTGATGTGGATCAATAAAGAAGTGTTTCTGTGAGAAATGACCCTCAGCCGTATGATGAAGTGACATCAGGCAGAACCGGAGACCCATCGCTCTGTCTGAGAGCTGTCTGGCCACAGTACCTATCAATGATACAGCGTAAATGAACATATCAGCTCTTGTAGGATCAAAGAACGTTGATTGAATCCTGTGTAGCATCGCCCTGTCTAAATGAGAATTCTGAATTGTGAGGTTTTCGGTGGTTTAAAGTGGTACGAACAGTTAAAAAAAAAGAAAAAATGCAGAAATGTTTTCCCATTTAAGGCACTTTACCTTCTTTGTTGTTTGTCCAGTTTGTTGTCTGTTTTCTCTACCTCTGAGGAGTAGCCTCAGTTTCCAGGTGACAGTCTGCTGGTCATGGCAGATGCCACCAGTCAATCACTTCCACAGTGAAACTGAAACATATGCAGAAAACCTTCTGGAAGGAGTCTGGAATTGAGACTTACCTGAAGTAAACAAGGTTTACTTCATATATGTGTTTACAGTAGAGGTGGGCGATATGGCAAATATGTAATATCATGATACTTTATGACCTTTTTATGACATGTGACAGGTCACAGTATTTACTGCTCTTTGTTTTATTGTTCCACACCTTTTGGTACTGTTTTTAGACTAGAACCACAAAACTTCACAGTATCATAGAGCCTATACAGCAATAGTGCTTGTGTCACATGTCACAATACACATCTCTCTCTATTTATATTAGGAACCACGTGTAATACCATAGCAACAGCCGAGCAGACCACCTAGGATAACACAGCAACAGCATAGCTACTGCTGGGACCATTGCTATGGTTTTGGGATAACGTAGCAGTGGTCACCTGGGATAACAGCAATGACCAAGCAACCACCTGGGACATCATAGCATTGCCTAGCAACAGCTTAGCAACCACCTAGGATACCATAGCAATAGCCAGGTAACACCTTAGCAACCAACTGGGATACCATAGCAACAGCCTAGCAACACATTAGCAGCCACTTGGTATACCATAGCAACAGTCTAGCAACACATTAGCAACCACCTGGGATACCATAGCAATAGCCTAGCAACACCTTAGGAATCACCTGGGATACCATTGCAACAGCCAGGTAACACCCTATCAACCTAATGGGATACCACTGCAACAGCCTAGCGACACCTTATCAACCAACAGGGATACCATAGCAACAGCCTAGCAACACATTAGCAACCACCTTGGATACCACAGTAATGGCCTTGCAACACCCTAGCAACCACCTGTAACACCATAGCAACAGCCTAGCAACGTATTAACAGCCATCTGGGATACCACAGCGATGGCCTTGCAACAACCTAAGCAATCACCTGGAATACCATAGCAACAGCCTAGCAACACCTTAGTAACCATCTGGTATATCAGAGCAACAGCCTAGCAACGCCTTATCAACCACCTGGGATTTGGTAACAATGGCTTTTTTTCCTGACATCTGATCAGTTTTAACAGACAGAGAAGTGCCACAATTAAAAATACTATCAAAACCGCATACAGTCATCTCACATACTGCACTGCAGTAAATCAAATTAAACATGACTAATTATGCTCTTTGTTAAGCAACCATGCTGTGAAGTGTTTTTAAGTACTGATGATACGAATAGAGAACAATATTGTGACATCATTTCTCACAGTAACAACTAATATTGTCATATTGCCCAACCCTAGTTTACAGGTTTATCGAATATTTGTGACAATCCTCTAAATGTTTACATTTATAGTCAAAGTGTGAGTACAGGTGAATGGACTTTACTTTCTGATATTGAGTATTTTTGAAAAGACTACCTTGTACCTACCTTCTACCTGTAAAAACAGCCTAAACAACTATGCTTAGTGTTTACCTACCTTATCAATTATGCAGTGTTTTTCAAATTTGTGTAATATGAGAAATAGACTTAATTAAACATTGTGTATGTTGTGGTACAAAGGCATGTGTTACCATTCTGTCAATACTTAAAAGGGGTATTTTATGCATAATTCAGTCTTACCAAATGGCTTGGTGTGAAATACTTCCTTCAAGAGTCATAGTGGTGGTGACAGGAACCAGATGTCTGAAGAGTTTAATGCCTCTGAAAGCCTTGAGAAGGTTTTGACCTAAAACTTTTTTTAAATACATTCATGATGCAGGATGTTGTAAGGTACAGTAGTCCCCAGTGAAAACTAATTTTACAGATTCACCACTATTTTACATTCAACTTTACATAAAAAAACTCAGAAGACACACATAGGTTCACTGGTGGTTTTGGATAGTAAATAAAATGTATTAGATGTGTTTGTTGAAAACATCACAACCTCTGGTTCCAGTCATCACCACTGTACAACAAAACACCCTGAATGACTTTGTTTCATCTCAATAGTAAAGTTAGGCAGAAATTCAAAAATTGGGTGGAATCCTCCTTTACGCAAATCAGTGAAAATTATACAGGTTTCCAGCAGGTGGCGATAAAACATCAAAGAATGTGAAACTGCCGAAAATCAGCAGTGTTGTAGGCCTATCAAAGGAGGAATGATGACTTTTCATGTAGGTTGGCTTACTATAACTTATGACATGAATTCATCACAATCTGTTTGTTATCCTCAGATACATTTGGGGTGTGTAATAGACTGCAAAAGAAGCTCGTTAATTTGGTTAAATTAAATTATCTTTAGTGAACCATTGCTTTAATATGTAATTAAAGTCTTTAATACATATAATAAATCATGTTCAGTCCTATAAAGAGAGTATACAGTGACCATAAGCCCCAAAATCTGATATATGGCCATATATGCACATATAAAGAGTCAGGCATATATTTCAAATTATGTGTACGTAAGTGTTAAGTACATATGTATATAAACATAAAATATTGGACATATATGCACTACATATTGACCATATATACATGTCTGATAGGTTGATGAACACATCTATGCATAATTTATGGACCACATATATACAATCTGATGTAGGTATGATACAAACACTGACTCCACAACCCACATGCAATAAAAAACGTATATTATTTAACATGAAGCAAGCATATATGAGTAATATATGTCTTCCATATATAAATGTTTTCTATCATATATTGTTAAAGATATGTATTACACATATATGCCAATATATGACGGAAATATGTCCCATATTTGAAGAAGATATGTCACATATATGTCCATATGTGACATACTTGGCGATAATATGAGTTGGATATAAGAGAGAAATCCATATACATGATATACACACACATCTTCTAAGCCGCTTATCCTTCAGGGTCGCGGGGGGGTGAGCTGAAGCGGCCGTCATTGGGTGGAAGGCAGGATGCACCCTGGACAGTTCCATATACAAACATATATATAATATATATATATATATATATATATATATATATATATATATATATATATATATATATACATATATGTATATGTATCAGATCTCTGTATGTGCCTGTGTGCTCACTATTGAGCACATGATATTTTACCTGAAAACTGCCCTTTAAAAACCAAAACAGAAACACAAATTTTTAAAAAATATTAAATGTATAACCAGTTTAATCGAAATTGAAGCTGGAGCACAAATCATAAACATGTTATTAAATAATAAACCTCCACATTTGGTGCGTTTATGAAAATGTGGGCTATTTGTTTTGTCACGGAGGTGCCCGGATGTTGTGTGGTAGCCCCGCCCCTCCTCTCGCGGCTGGCTGGTCGCTCAGAGTCTCTGCAGTGGAAACCCACAGAAAAGAAAGCAGCACAGAGCGGCCTTTTCCCACAGAGGTGTGCGAAAAAACAACATTTGCTTGAAGAAGAGCCGATTACTCGACCTCATTTTCTGCAGTCATCTGCTGCTGCCCGTTTTCGAAGCGGAGTTCTGTCGCGAAGGCAACAAAATGGTGAGAAAACGCCGTTTGTCGCCGGCTTCTTAACGAGGCTGAAGTTGTTGGCTTCCTATTCGCCAGCTTCTTGCTCTATATGTGCCGTTCCACCTTAAATGGTGCAGCAGTTACATTCTGGCGCCTGAGGCGAGAGTGTAACGGCTGCACCGTTAAGGTGGAACGGGGAATTCGAATGAGAAGCTGGCTTCGTGGCTTCTTAACGGTCGCCAGTTTAGTTTAAATTTGCAGCTTCCACCGCGACGACAGTTAGCAAGTGTGTGGAAAATGGTTGAAGGCGACTGTAATTCCCAAATATCCCAAACATTGACGACCTAAAGTCGAGTTTGTATTCGCCAGCTTTTGTAATTCGACATTTCCGTTCCACCTTAAGTGGTGCCGCAGTAACTGCTGCACTACTGCACTATTTAAGGTGGAACGGGGAATTCAAATAAGAAGCCAACCTCAGCCTCGTCGAGTTGTGCTTAACGAGACTGTAACGGTAACCTAGACTCTTAAAAACATGGTTCTTGTTTTGTTTTTTAGTCGGGAATGGTTCTGTTTAGAACCACGAGTCCCACATAGAACCATTCTGCGCTTAAATGGTTCTTTACATTGTAAAATGGTTCTTCAGATTGATGGAGTTTTGTGTATCGTTCTGTATATCACCATAAAGGGTTCTGCTATGATTGTCAAGCTTGTAAACAATAGCAGAAACCCTTTTTGGTGCTGTGAAGCAGCATTTTTTAAAAGGGTCTTTAACTGTAAAGCCATGTACAGCACATTCCTCATCAATCTGAAGAACCATTTCACTGTGCAAAGAACCATTTAAGCATGAAATAGTCCTATATAGAATTCATGGTTCTCGATAGAACCATTGTCTTGAAAAGAACCCTTGAAGAGCATCTTTTTAAGAGTGTAGCTTTAGTGGCTGGGTTTATTTCCTCTGTTTTCCATATTTTATCAGTCCTCAGTGTGGCCCAGGTAGGAACTCGGCTGCTGGTTGTGTTTTGTTTTGGTACAAAGTCGTGTCTCACTTTCGAAACAGCCTTCAAAACCAGTGCTTTGGTCACTGTCGCTGTTAAATTGACAGTGGTTGGTGTAGTGTAGTGAGTAACACCTCTGCCTTCTGCGCTGTAGACTGGGATTCAGTCCCCTGCCTGGGCAAGCAGCCTACACTATACCAATAAGAGTCCTTGGGCAAGACTTCTAACACTATTTTCGCCTACCTGAGTAAAATGATCAAATTGTAGGTCGCTCTGGATAAGAGCGTCCGCCAAATCCCGTAAATGTGAAATGTAATGTAAATGTTAAATGGTGCGAAATGCAGTTCATTTCATTTAGCACTTTGCAGAAAAGGCCGCTTTGTGTATCGTCGCTGTCCAAAGAAAAAACATGCATCTCCATTTTTTGCGATTTTCGCTTTTCTGCATCATTTCAGCACGCCAGCTTTTCTTTACATTGTGTGAAAATTTTATGATGAATGGACAAAAAAAAAAATGCACCAAAACAGCTTTGGAAAAAAATT